AAACCCTAAGACCGAATATCAGTGTATGTATGTTTTCATATCGACAAGATTTTATGTGTTCCGTGAAATTATGATGGAGTTAATCTCTATGTGAGTCGTTTTAACCATACTTGATTATGAAGAATTCGCCTGTCGTGGCATTTTCAGGCACCGACTTGTTTAAGGTAAGGTTTGTCACCCTAGACTGGCCTAGTCTAACTGTAGCGAACAGCTTAGGTATGTATGGGGTGTCACCCCATATAGATCTATACACAAACTCTCGCTCTCCCTCCAGGAGACTCTACAGGGTATGATCGTACACTTGAGAGGTGTTAACCGACATGTCTCACTAGATCCTTAACTGAGTTTATGCGAATATTGTATTATGTTATGTATAATGTTTATGTGTACGTTTTATGTTTGAAAAGTCCAGCGAGTATGAATGTGAATCTATGAGACCCAACAGACATGTAGAAGGACCACTAAGGCCCAATAAACATGTAATGTATAGTCCAGGCCCAATAAACATGTAAATGGACCACTAAGGCCTAATAAACATGTAATGTATAATCCAGGCCTAATAAGCATGTAAATGGACCACTAAGGCCCAATAACATGAAATGTAAGTATTAGGTCCAATAAACATGTAATTGATGTATTTAGTTCGTTTGTTATTACATTATTTGTTTTAGCTCGATTGTTTTCTAAAATGACATAAAAAGACCCACTTTTGTAATGATGACATTTTTAGCCCATTAAGCCAAAATTTTACAATTTAGGCATATTTTTGATAAAATTGACACTTTAGGTCCCTTAAGACCAAAATTTTACATTTATGGCCTTATTTCAAATAAAATGACATTTTTAGCCCACTTTTGTTAAAATTAGCATTTTCGACCCAATATCATGAAAATTGACATTTTTGGCCCCATTATATAAAAATTGACATTTTCGGCCCAATTTAATAAAATTGGCATTTTCAACCCTTTTTAACCGAAAAACAACATTTTTGGCTCAAATTTGTTTGAAATGACAATTAAATCCACAAAAGTCATGATTTTTCCAATTTTGGCCCATAAAACCGTGAAGGCTCAATTTAAGCCCATTTTGTGAAAATTTTACTCTTTTTGGCCCTTTTTAAAACCATATACCATAAAAAGCCATTTTTATACAAAATGACTATTTGGTCCTTAAAAAACCGTAAGTATCATAAATGCTTCATCTTTTTGTTTATTTGTCAAAAATGGTCCCTTTACAAGATTTTGTTTAGTTTTTCAACATCCTTAACATGTTTAACACTTTCATCCTTATGGTAAGTTGCGTAAAGTGTTTTAGTTTACAAATATTATCAAGACTTGATAGAGTTTTCGAGATCTATGAAGTTTCTTCACATAATCACAGCATATAACTTAGAAAACACACATAAACATGCACGAATACATAGATCTATCACATAAGCAACTTGTATCCTCCCCCAAAACATAGTAAAACCGAAAAACAAGGGGTATGAACTCACTTTGGTTGATGGTTTTGGTTTGGAAGGAGATTTGGAAGAGTTTTCGGCCTTGGATGCTTCTTTGAAGAGGTTGTTGGAACCAAGCTAGTTCTAGGAAGCCATACATGAAAATGGAGTGTAAGAATGAGGACTTTTAATGATTGGAAGGAAACAATAGAGTTTAACAAAACTTACCAAGTTAGTGAAAAACTTGCAAGAATCTCCTTGATACACACATGAAATACTCGAAAAATTGAAGGGAAAGTGAGAGGATTTCTTTGAGTGTTTTTATAAAGGAATGCTTGAGTGAGTTTGAAAATAAAATGGAGGTGGTGGTGGTTTTTTGGCTCTATGGTCGTGAATAAGAAGAGATGAGAGAGGTTGAGATGTGATAGATACCTTGAGACATGAGATTAGTTGGTTACTTGAAGGATAATTAGCATGGAAAAACACAAGGTAATTATGAGGTGGCACCTCAAATATCCTCCCATTTGTTTTTGTTTTTTTTTGTTGGGCCGAGAGATAGGACGGAGGAAAGGAAAGGAAAAGAAAAGGTTTGGGCCCTTCCTTGACTTAGTTCGAAATCATGAGGCCCAAAATAAATATTTTACGGCCTATTGGGCCTTTATGAGGGTTCATGGCCCAAAGAAGCCCAATAATGTAGCTTACGGCCCATTAGGGCTATTAAAATTAGTTATGGCCAATTAGAAATAAGATGGATTATTCTAGGATCATATGACCCAAAATAACCTAATTTCATGGATGTGGGTCCACTTAGAGCCCAAATAGGGTTCCTAGGCCCTAAGTAGTCAAATTGAAAGTTTATTAGTCCATTAGGCCCAATAAGAGAATCCTAGCTCATAATAATCTTGAACCGGGATTTTTAGGGTTTCAATCCATAGTTGAACATATGAGATGTGTTGTATTAGGTTTTGAACTTAAATCAAGAGTTTGGATTCAAATGTATGGTTTCATGTTAGCATATAGCATGATATTCACTTAGAGTACAAGTCTTACAGTAGTTGATGTTTACATGAAAACAAAATTTCCTAGCTAAAATGCTAGTTGTGACAATTTTATACTGTGGCATCTCCTTAAGCCCCCAATAGTCAAACTGAATTTCTAAACTACGCTTATCTTAATATAAATTTGGAAAAAATATGGGCTATTTATTATTTTTGATTCTGTTCTTGATTTGCAGATGAAATTTGAAACACATAAATATGATAAAAATTGGATGGAATCCCCTTAATTCCAAACTCTAAAGTTTACGACATAGATCTTGAAGGCCAATCTATGCCGATTTGAAACAAAATTGCACTCTCCATGGTTGATTTCATCTTTCTTAACAGGCTTAAAGTTGATGTTGGTTTTCGAATAGACTCAAATTCGTTAACTTGATTTTGGTTATATATATATATATATATATATATATATATATATATATATATATATATATATATATATATATATATATTCCTAGCAGACTTTGAAAAGAAACAAATTTCCGAAGAAAATAATATGAGAAAAAAAAAGATTCTCTCTCTTGATGTCTCTTCCCAGTTCTCTTTCCTCAATCCTCAATCGTCTCTGCTTCATAGAGTTAAAGAGTGAAAGAGGTAATCAATTGTATCTCTTAGTGTTGTTTACCATTATTTGATATTCAGATTTGTTATATGAGGTTTCATTAATCTCAAACAAATGATATCATGATATATCTAGGGTTTACTTACACAAATAGATTTGAAGTTGATGTTTATTTGCATTCGTCTCAAAAATTGCAAAGTCTAAGCTTTTATGAATTGACAATGTTTTTATCTCTAAAATTGCACTGTCAAAGCTACCATCTCCAATTTATCAGGTCTCCCAATTTCTTTATTGTAAAAATTCAATAGTTTTTTCCATGTCAGGGTCACTGTCAAAGCTGTCATCTCCAATTTCTTTATTGTAAAATTTCAATAGTTTTTCTCATGTCAGAATCACATGTTACCTGTTTCAAAAATTTTGCTTATTATAAAAGATTTCATCTCCAAAGTTGCAATATGATTTTAGATGTGTTAATAAGAATTTGTGGTTTTCTTTGTAGTTATTTTTATACTAGTATAAAAAAGTTGACAAATTCGATGATCATGTTGGCCATTATGGTTGTCAAAGTCAGTATCAATGTGTTTACATACCTTTTAAATACTTAAAATAGCAACCGGTGCCAATACTTTGTATTATACGATTACCAATACATTCCAACCCTTTACCCACTCAACCCACTTTTGAAGGAATGGACACTTTTGAAGGCATGGAGGGAGTCATTGATTATTTTTGGACTCCCTCCTGTCTTATACATTTTATAGCCTATAAATTAAAGAATGGATATTTGTTCAAATTAAATTTTCTTCGTTTGTTTATATTTGAGCATTGATTCTCTGTTGTCTACATACGTCGCATGATATGTGTTTTTGAAAACGTCTAAAAGAGAATTTGATTTTCAAATTCTTAAATAACACAAAGTGAATTCTGACTTGGTTATTGGTATTACTTGGCTCTATAATGTGGTATGCATTATGTCATAATTTAAAATGCTAATTACCCTTTAGGTTTAATGATTCTATCACATTCTATCAAAGGTTGTCTTGTGTATTTAAGAATGAATTATAATGATAGGAACAACTTCGTAAGTATATCTTCGATATCGATATAGAAATTGAAAGGATCCGATTCGAACAAATTTTCAATTCAAAATAAATTTGTTGGAACCACAAAACTTTTTCAATCCACAGTGTATCACACACGAATCAACCATCAATATGATTCTAGAAAGAAATCACAACCAGGTGCTGCAACTTCATATTTAAGCAAACAAGAAAGATCAGATCTACATGTATTTGAAGAAAAAATATATATTACTCTAAAATGAACTCTCAAGTATGATATACAATTATACATACATATTCAAACATGTGAAATACTTATATGATCATCCTCATGTGTCGTTTCCTTGTGCTTCCCAACATCCTTTCCTCTTTCATCCATAACTTATTATCTGAGTCAACATCATCATAATCAATGATACTTGAGAAAATCAACTATGCTGAAAAGAAAATAAAATGTTAAAAGTTATACTGGACAATTATAGCAAGTTCATACGCAGTTTCTTCTTCTCAATTCTCTCCTTTTCTCTATTCAAACATTATGTTACCAATATAAAGATCCAATCTTTAACTGTTTTCTACAAGACAAAATTTTAGTATCCCATTACATTAAATGTAAACCATAAGGGATTGATAAAGTTAAGTTAGAAAGAACAAAATGTTGAAGAACAGAAGAACTCCAGTTGGGTATTCTCAAATAAATCTCCATCAAAAATCTTATTCAAGAATCAAAAATGGTACAACAAATTTACCTAACATATTAGACTATATCTTTTTTTTTCCTGGATAATTAATTATCCATTGTAAATGAATCTTGATTAACTAACTGTTCTCAAAACCAGAATTAAAAACTGTACAAAGGTTCCTCCTATAGAACAGTGTCAACTCTTTTTCAAAACCGATTCCATGATACCCATTTGATTTGAGCTAAATGAAGGTACTTTTTTATGCATCAAAGATAAAATAAACCTAGCTTTTTCAATCTTCCCTGTGGCTTGAAGCCCTTGAAGTAACTGACAAATACTACTGATGCTTGGAAACCAATTCTTTTCCATACTATTTTTGCACATTGTATATGCCATGTCAAATTCACCTTCTTTACATAGATAATGCATCATTGTTTGATATATTCTTGCATTTGGCTTGTATCCCTCATCATGTAAAGAAGAATAAACTCTTTTAGCCATATCAATATAACCAGATCTACAAAACCCTTTTATCACTAAGTTGAATGTAACCTCATCAGGGGAAATTCCAAGGTAACGCATCATACCCATTAAACTATTAGCCTGCCATGAGCGTCCTTTATGCACCAAGAACTGAACCCTAGCATTAAAAGTTGCTAAATTTGGTAAACAGCCTCTCATCACCATAAGATTCCAAAGTCCATTTCCTATTTCTGCTCGATTCAGTTTATAGAAAGATGAAATAAGAGTAGTGTATGTGATCACATCAGGTGTGATCCCTGATTTTTCCATCTCTCCCATCGCCATGTAAGCTTTATCAGGGATACCCATTCGACAAAGAGCATCTATTATAATATTCATGGAGATGATATCAAGGTTGACATCAAACTGGCAACGAATATGGCAGAGAAACGATTCAAATGCATCTAAATCCCGTGAATGTGACAAAACCTTAAGAGCAGCATTGAGGGATTTAACACTGCGATCACAACCGTATAAATGCATACCTTTGAAAGTATCGATGGCATGATTAATCATTCCAGCCTTTCCGTATAACATGATAATCCTCATTATGAACCCTTCGCGTCTGCCTTGAGGAAGTGCCTTTTGATGCTCAAGTAATTGCTCGATGTAATCAAACCTCCCAGCGCCTGCTAGCCTGGAAACTGTGTCTTCAAATGCAACCAGATTTTCTATAACAAGGCGATTATTGGCATTAGCCTTGAACAAATGAAATAATTTTTCGGGGTCTCTTTCTGCCTTGAGCTTAATTAGGGCAGGTTCCTCTAACGTTAAGGGTTTCTTGAAATCTTTTGCAGTCAAAGTAGTTTTAGTTTTAGAAGTCGAGGTAATGGAGGCTGGAATGGTGGTGTATGTTCTAAATCTGCGACCTAGGCGCAGAGAGAGCATATTTTCGAATCTCAAATCGGAATCATACCCATAAGAGCAAAATCTGCGGTCTTTTAAGTGGTTGAATCGAAACTCAAACCCACCCCAGGTGCAAGAATGAATGTATAAACAGAGAGAATGAGGGATCAAGCGTACCTCGGTTCGTTTATAGCAGATATAGGGGTAGGTCGAGAGGATAATTTATCAGAATGAATTAATTGCATTCCGAATTTGATCATGTGAAGATGGTGGTGGTGGTAGACGGTGGAGGAGGTGGATTTAGCGGTGGTTAAGGGTTTTACGTTGTTGGATTTAGTGGCGATGGAGGGTTTTACGTTGTTTGGGGGTGGTGAACCAGCTCCATGTGATTAGCTGAGAAGCCATTTTAGGTTTCCGGATTGAATCCGCTGGCCCATTTGCACATAGGCTTCCCCTACTGTATTTTTCATATATTTATTAATCACATTATTATTATTTTTTTTTATAAAATATAATTTTCATTTTTATAATTGTATATTTTTAGAAGTAAAACGTTAATAAGAAAAAGAATTTGAAAATATAGTACGTAATTTATAGAATTTTCATAATGTTGTGTTACAAAATGACAATATTTGCTGAAACATTATATAATTAAACTTGACAGGAAAATAACAATCCATTGTAATTTATTTTATCTCTCCACTAATAGGGAGGTCAACAGTCAACCAGGCAAACGGGACGGGAAATGTATCCCTCGCCTCCGCCTCTGAAACTTTCCCCGTTCCTTTGTTTCTGTCCCTACCTTCAAAATGCTCAGTCTTGCAACCTCTGCCCTGCCCCCGAATCCCCTTTATTACCCCGTCCCCGTTATTCCACCCCCGATTGATTGTTGGCTGATTTTTTTGGGTTAAAAGAAGTTGTTATTTAGGTTAAAATAATATATTTTTTAGGTAACAAATAATATTTGTAGCAAAAATTTACATGTAAAAATTAAAAAAAAAAAAAAAAAAGTTATGACATCTTAAAAATATTATACTAACAACTTAAAAACATGTTTTTTGATGAATTTGAGAAGCTCAAAATAATTTATTTTTATTATATTTATATAATTAATATATGTAAATATATATGTAATTTATTAACGGTGTTCCCATGGAGGTTTCGAAATGGGATTGCACACCCCCGTTCCCGTCTCCGAAATAAAAACGAGGATTAACATTGCCCCCGCCCTCGTCCCTATCCCCAATTTTTTTTTAAAAATCCTCCCAAATGTGATGGGGGTCCCACGGGAACAGGGTTCCACGGTACTTTTTGACATCTCTATCCTTTAAAAACATCCTTAATATTTTAATGGACAAATATCACAAAAGCCACAATATTTACACGGGTATTTGAGAAAAAACTTTTTTTTTTGGCTCTAGTCACAAATGGGACATAGAGTTATCACTCTACCGCTTTAACGATTTTCATGGTTAACTCCATTAATTTTTTTGCAAAATCAGTCCTAAAAGTTTAAGTTTGGACCTTTTAGTTTGCAAAAATTTACAAAAGACATCCAAAACTCGGTTTTATGTTTTTTAACTTCTTTATTTTCATTTATTTTTTTATTTTTTAATCAAAGCTAAACTTGGTTTTATATTTTTTTTTAATTTTTTTATATTTTTCATTTCTTTTTCGTTTTTTTTAATATATTTTTTTATTTTTTAACTTTTTTTTTTATTTTTTCGATTTTTATATTCATTTTTTTTCATGTTTTTTTCGTTTTTTTTTCTTTATTTTCATTTTTTTTATTTTTTTAGAAAACCAAAAAAAACTCAAACACCAAAAATATAATATACTCAAATATATTCATACACTTTACACTTTCTAAAAAATATCGAAAGAAATTATCAAATTGACAAAAAACAAATAACAAAACAAAACAAAAAAAAAATGAAACAAATACGAAAAATATAAAAAAAATATTCATACACTTTAAATTCTTTGATAAATATCAAAAGAAGTTATCAAATTGACGAAAAAAACTATAAAAAAAATAAGAAAAAAATAAAAAATAAAAAAAATAAAAATATAAAAATGATAAAATATAAAAACAAGTTTGGTTTTGACTAAAAAATAAAAAGTAAATGAAAATAAAGAAGTTAAAAAGCATAAAAATGAGTTTTAGACATGTGGTGCAATTTTTTGCAAACTATAAGGACTAAATTTGAATTTTTATAACTGATTTTGCAAAAAATTTAACCGAATTAACCATGAAAATCGTTAAATATGCTAGAGTGGTAACTCTATATCCCATTTGTGACTAGAGCTAACCAAAAAAAATAATTGGGTTTTTCTCAAAAACGCATGAAAATGTTGTGGTTTTTATGGTATTTGTCATATTTTATTTCACACAAAACATCTCTGAGTGATTCTTTTTTAATTTTTGACAAACATATAGATTCTAAGTTACTAATCATTAATCTCATGCTAATTAAGATTTTTCTTTCTAAGGTCGATCGGATTGGGCACATTATCACCTCGCTAAGGAAGTGCTAGAGGCGCTAAACATCACCCCCATCAAAATGATATCAGCATCGCTAAGGAATGCTTGCTATAGGCTTAACGAGAGGAGAGAGAAACATCAATGGTGTGTTATTGTTGGTTGATCTAAGTTTTTCCTTTTTAAAATTTTTTTTTAAAAATAAAATTCATTAAACTAACAAACTATCACTCCCTACTTTTTACACTTTTGATGCTAACACTCTTCGCAAACTATGTGGCTTCAAAAAATATGATGTGGCATAAAAAAACTAATGTGTCACTCCCTTTAGCCTAAGATGGCTAACAATGTGACCTGACTTTTCCATACTCATCCCCTTCCATGTGTCTCCGCCAACCACACCTCGTTTTATTCCCAACCTATAAATTTTCTTTTTTTCGCCTTCATTTTTAATAGAAAAAATTCATATCCACTAACTAACAAAAATCAAAGGCTCCTTCAAAAGCATCATCTACAGAATCTTCATACTTTCTAACCTTAATTAACCCTAATAAACAAAAGAAATTTAAGTAAAGATCAAACACATACACTTTGATATAAGAATAAAAAAATATCTTTAATAAGTTTATCCTAGCAAAATCATATTTATTTTCATCTTTATTATGTATGGCCTTAATAAAACATCATCAACAATAATAATTGACACAATCTCATCATCCTTATTATTGTTTCACATGATTAACCCTGAAAAAGAAAATATAATTACATGTTACATAATCTCATAAATGAATCAAAAAAAGATTTGTTTGATCAATGTTATAACACAAATGCATCATCTAGCGCCAACTTCGTTCCTAATTCCAAATCAACCAAAAGATGTATTGAGTCGCTATCATCCCTAATTTTTGTCTGTAATTTGTAATTATTTGAAACTCACTAGTTTCTTGCTAACTTTATTTTCTCCCTAATTGAAACATCCCAAAATACGACCAAAAAATTTTTGTTTAACAATTACTAAAACACTATGATAATATCATAAAATAAACCTCGTACGTCAATATCTCAAAACAGTAGCAAAGTGTTATGAAGAACTGTATCAAATCACATTTATGAAAAACTAAAAACATCTCCCAGGACAACTGAAGTTGTGGTGTATGCGATGCCATCAACCCGAGATCTTCCCTTTGCTTTCGGAAGTACCTGAAACCAAAACTGAAACTGTAAGCACGAAGCTTAGTGAGCTCCCCCAAACTACCACATACCATACAATACATATAAACACATATTGGGCCTTGCCCACTTCATCGGACCGAAGTCCGGAACTAACCAGGGCCTTGCCCTCTGCATCGGACCGAAGTCCGGAACTACTGAGGCCTTGCCTCTTGCATCGAACCGAAATCCGGAACTAACTGCATCGGACCGAAGTCCGGAACTAACTGCATCGGACCAAAGTCCGGAACTGTCTGCATCGGACAGAAGTCCGGAACTACTGAACATAACATAGCATAAACATATCAACTAGCATGAACACATAAACTGCATACTGCATCGGGCTGTAACCCGGAACACATAACACATAAATCCAGTCTGAGCCACGAAGGCATCAAACATACTAAAATCTGCATCGGACCGAAGTCCGGAAACTACTACTAGCTAAACGGGTCGGCATTGTGGCCTTAGACCCGTTCCTACTGGGAGGAAACTCACCTCGTGATCTGGCTGCTGAGTGTATGGCTCTAGAAGCTATCTACTGCTGCTCCGGTATCTCCCTGGCTACAATTCCACAAATACACTCAATCAAATACTAATAACTGTATTGGGTAAAATGACTCTTTTACCCCGAGCTAAAGTCAACTCTCCAGGTCAAAGTCAACTTACAGTTGACCTGAATCGCCGAGTTGGGCCGCCAACTCGCCGAGTCCCTACTCTCATTTCTCAACCCTGCTTGCTGCTACTCGTCGAGTATGGCATAAACTCAACGAGTTCCCATTCGCTTCTAAAACTCAGGCCATCTGCATCCGACTCGCCGAGTTGTATGAACAACTCGACGAGTTGTTCTTGAATCTAAGAAGATTGTCTTAGACTTGCCGAGTTGTATGAACAACTCATCTGTGACAATCGTCAAGCTTGAGTCAAGTCGAGTCATCAAGTCAAACCGGTCAACTCGATTAAACCTTGTGTATTAGGGTTTGTGTTATGTTCATACTGTATAACTTGCTATATTAATGGGAAAACATCACTTGGGAAAAATCTTGTGTTAAAATTTCCTGAGCCTTAGAGCAAATCAATGAGCTAAACTGATAAAACCATGTTGCATACTCATCGGGAATGTGTAAGATCCTTAAACAAGGCTTAACAGTGTTTACAGACCTTGCATTGCGAAGCCGGACACTCACAAATGCCACACTCGAAGCCTCTCTCAATCGTTTTCACTCTATCTCTCTCTATTTGAAATCTCTCTAAGTATGTGAAACCTCTCCCAAAACTCTCTTTGTATGAGAAATCTCTCTAAGTATGTGAAATCTCTCCCAAATCTCTCCAAGTATGTGAAATCTCTCTC